TGGTTTTTCGGGGCTTTCCACGTCCCCCTGGTCTGGGCGCCTTCCGGGGCCCAGGCTCAAGGATTGGGTGCTTTTGGTACAACAACAAGAAGGGCCGCAACTGCGAATTAGGGACCGAAATCTCGGATAGCTGTGCTAGTCCGTCGTTTAGGTATATTCGAGCCGTTTTCGCGGCTCCCCACCGTCCTTGGACTAGAAGGCGGTCGAAACTGCCGTGGTGCTGGAAGAAAAAAGTCGCCCCCCCTCTCCGGAGGGAGTATGGTCGGTAAGCAAACTCTTGGAGTTTGAGTCCTTCGATGGCGCGGTTAAAAAGATTGCGCCAGGCATGAGGTTTGCTAGTGAGGAAATCATGTGGCTTTGCTTGGCATTTCCAGCGGTACAGGCTTGGAATCGCAGAAGAGTCATGAATGGTAATGCTTTCCGCAGCCCCCTGGCGGGCGCCTGACTTGGTCAAGCCCAGGGAAATGACCGCCGGTCCCTTCGGCGTGTTCAGGTAGATATCTTTGGCACGTAAACTTAAAAGTTCGCCTGTGCGCAGAAGTCCAAAAAAGGCGACACGCAGGGACAAGCCAAACTCCGGGCAGTCTTGCATCACGCTCCATCCACACAAAGCATTCAGCAGGTCAACGTTAACGGGGGTGCCCGGTTTGGAATTTCGGCAGAGTTCCAAGCTTTCATCAACCTCCAGCTGCCGGGCAACTTCTTCTTTAGGCTGGGCTCATAGTCCTGAAAGGCGGCAAGCGCATTGTTTGCCACCGACTTTCCTTCGCCTGATGCCCAGAGGAACTCGAGGTAGTCTGACACAACGTTATCCATCTGGGAGGCTTGGGTGGGAAGCCGAAGGCCCTCCCTTGTCAACCAATCAAGGAACTGACGCAAAGCGTGGTCATATCGATGTCGGGTACGTGGCTGTACTGTGAGGTCTTTCAACTTTCCTAAACTCTTGCGCACTTTTTGTCGTTGTTGTTTGCTGCGGCCTTCAACTATCTTCTTCGTGCTTTTAGCCATCCCTTCCGTACCGGCCGGCGGGACGGTCGGTCCGCCGGGTTTTGCTTTGTATCAATGTAGCCCCAGGCTACATGGAGCCCGCTAGCCAACAACAACGCACTAATTTTGGCAAGAGTCCTTCGAAGTTTCCGACTACTCGACCTTCCACGTGACAACGCATGCAACACGACCAGCGAGTCGACGAGATGCAAGCACTTGCTTCCAGGCTCCTGAAGTTCCTTGATCCGCCACACCATCGAGGTCTTTACTGCTCGGAGTTCCAGGGCATTGATGTGTTCCTTTTCACCTGTCCAGCTCCAGCCAACAACATCACGCCACCGCCAAAGCTTTCCGGGGATGGACGCCCGTAGGCGATGATACCGAGCGGGAATGTCTGTGGATAACTGCAACAGGATGTCTTCCCCTTTAACAGAGATCTGTCCCAGGAGCTTCCGCACCAGCCCATGGGTCTCTTGTCCGGGGGCAGTAGTGTGTCGCAAGGGCGGACACATCAACAAACCAGCCATGTTGGGACATTTTCCGGGGGTCAAGTTGTCGACAATCTCCTGAACGCTCTTTTCCTCATTGAGGCCCAGAGTGGCAAACAGGCAATGCAAAAGGCACGCTACGACAGGGACCGACCAACTGTTGCCTAACAAGGTCAAACGACAATCATGGCCCCGGGTTGTCCCCGCTTCGGCCTTGGGAAGGCACTTGGCCGTGTACTGGACAGGAAAACCCAGAATCGCCTCTCGCTCAACTATGGAAGGAACACGCACCACGCCTTGGGAGTTGACAACGGAATTCTCCCATCGGTATTGGTATGGCGGAAACCGATGTTGGTCGGCACGCCATCGTGCTACTGCCTCGGGAGGACACAACGCTAGCCCCGCGGGTTTCCGGCCTGGCTTGGTAGCCGGCCTTGAGGTGGTGAAGGTAGGAAACCCCCCTTTAACTGTAAGTTTCCAGCCTGGCTCCAAGAAGTCACGCTCATCAACCACCGCTTCAAGCCGCAAAGTTCCCGCCAAAGGCAACCGATGAGGATCGCCACGACAGATGCAGGCTCCTTTGAGAGTCCTGGGCTCCCAGTTGAACCAGTACAACCGGGGACGCCGACACAATGACAACTCGGAGGAGTCTACAAGCCACGGGGCCATGTCATAAGCCTGGGACATCACCTTGCAATCCTCGGCATCCATGGAGGCTACATTCTCGATGAGAGTGAAAACTGGACACCATGTGAAGAACCTTTTCAGAAGGCCCTCAATTCGTGGGACATGAGCGAATAGGCAGGATCGCACGTCACGCAATGCACCCCTTCGATCCGAGTTTAGCCCTGACACTCCTTGACATGGGGGTCCAGCGCCGAGGAGGACCGCGCATACACTTGGGAATCTCAGACACCAACTACTGACCTCGTGTTCATCAATGCTCTTTACGTCTTCAAGTGCCACAACCTCCGGGAACCAACTCTCGACTACCCGTCGGGCTTCGGGGCAAATTTCCACAGCAACATATCCAGCAACCGGCACCTGAAGCGAGTCAACGGCGATTCGAAGAGCTCCAATCCCATCAAAGAGGGATACAACCAAGATGGCGCCCACCTCGTCCTGGGAGATCACATCTCCCCTACAACTTGCCATGCTTGCTGCAACTCCATAGGGACTGACACTTCGCGACACACACAAGCCTCCCCCTGTAGTGGAGGCATCACTCGCGGTCACCTTCTCCGAGATCGGGGTGCGAAAGTCCATGTACGCCAAGGGAGTCAAAGCAACAAAACGCAAGATCTCATGCTCTACCTCCGGCCCTAGGCTCGCCCGTTGAGTGGGCTTAAGCTCCTCCAACTCAACCACACGCTTCCAAATGGCATTCAGCCCCGACAGCAGAGGGCGCCTAAACATAGCAATGTACACAAAGCCTCCTCCAATCACCTGGAGCTCTCGTTGGGAAGCCTTTCCTTGGACCACGGCCTCACAAGCCAGTCTCACATACCTCATCACCTTTTCGGGCTTAGGGCTGGCTCTGCCCAGCTCGCCATCGACCCAAGCCCCCTGTACCTCTGCCTTGACCGCCTGCGTCACTGCTTTCCTTGGGTGCCGTGGAAGTCCAAGCGTCTCATAAGTTTGCCTGACTGCCAACGTCCATGCTGAGGGAGTGCCTGAAAGTATTCCGGCCAGAGTCCTATCCACCTTTTTTAGCTCATCATAGTTGTCAAGGTAGACCCTAAAGAGGTGTGGCGCACAGCTGGGTGGCCGATCTCGCCTGATCTCCTGATGTCCGGACGCCAACTTTGCATCGCCTTTCAGAGCCTGGTTGATCACCCTCCTATGTACGTGTTGAGCTATAGCGACAGAGTTTATGAACCCCATGGGCAACACCTGCGTCACCAAATGCCACCCTGCTCCTTCATAGCCCTTTGGGAGAGCCTCTGCGGGGACCTCCCGTCCAAACCCCATGTATTTCCACCAGCTGGCCGGAGTCCGGAAAAGGTAAAAGAAGCAACGTATGTCTTCAGAAGAGGTCACCAACAACTGATTGTCGTCAAGTACAACGGAGCTCATTCCTACCACACTTGGTAGCGTAGAGGTGTCCCCCACTAGGCTTCGGCAGCAACCGTTGGTAGGTACTAGGTTCATGATTAGTCTACACACTTCAAACTCATTTCCCAACGAATCAATGGCCTGCTCCTGTTTGCTAACAGCAAACAGTCCGTTCATCAAAGGACGATCACCAACATGGTGCAGTTCATTGACATGCATGAGTCGACACACACCCCTCCTCAACAGTCCCGTGCAAACTTCGGCCCAGTGGCAGGCCTCGACCATAATGCTTGGCGTCTTTCCCAAGTGCTGATCCTGGGGCGGCAAAAGGAAATCTTCGAAATGCTGGACATAAGCCAACGTTCCCCCCTCGCAGAATTCCTCAAGACAAAGACTGCCTACCGCCTCCGGATATGCGGCTTCAATCATCCTCCAATCGAAGCGACGGGCGACTTGAACAATCTCTCCGGAGTAGTCTACTGAGCGGCTTTTGAAGAAGTCCCCAAATCCAATATCAGGCACCTCACGACCTCCTAGCTCCGCCTCGTCAACCACCTTCTTCAACCTTTCAACCAATTTCAATCTAGTGCTATCCTCTCTGTTCCTCTTGATAGTCTTGGTCCCGTACAACGAATTCAACGCTTGCACCAATGCATCTGCACAAATCAATGGGGAACCCGAGGTCTCCAGAGTTGAAGGTAGGGGCAAGGGGAACAAGTCCCCTTTGGTCTCGCTGCAACGCGCATACGTTTGCTCCTGAACCTTCAACGCCTCTAGAAGCACCTCCCCAAGCTCCTCAAAACGCAACTCCTTTTTTTGACATGTCGTGGCAAGGTAGTGACGACACTTCTCAAATGCTTGCCGCCTGCTTGCTTCCAACAACGTCCGTCTCAACCCGCTCACCGGCGGGGAGGTATCAGCCATTGGAGCAGCTCCTCCTTCAACACGCCCAGACATCTCTCCACAACGTCCAGAGTGTTGGGAGTCCTGCTCCCTTACAACTTCAACTGCAGACTCACCAATGTCCTCGGCACGCCCTCTCAATGCCTCACGACACTGGGAGTCCACACTCCCTTCAAAATCTCCTCTCCGCAACTTGTCACGCTCAGCCCTCATTTGATAGCCCATCGTCGCACTCTCATCCAACAGCCTCTCTATCGCACCATCCTCACTTGCGCCCAATGTATCAGCTCAATGCTGCCTCCTCTCCAGACTTTTTTGCACCCTCACTTGGATCGTCTCTCAACCCTCCTTTGGAGTCCCTCTTTCGGCTTTTGCTACTCATTCTTTCTTTTGCCCTTCCCCTTCTCTCTCTTGCCTTTCTCGCCCTTTCCTTTCTCTCCTCCGGAGGGATAACGATCCTTGCCTTTCCCAGCTCCTTCTCCCTTCTCGCGGCCGCCTGACCCACTGCCTGACCCATATGGTCTTTGAGAAGCCAGTCGATCTCGAAGTTCTTCTCTTGCCAGCTTTGCCGCCTCTTGCCCTTCCGGGCCTTTGCTTAAACCAGCCGAATCAGCACTGACTAGTTCTGTCTTGCAACCGTCCAGTGTCCGCCTCGAATCTGTTGATCGAGAGCCTTAACTCTCTGGGCCAACAAATCCAAAGCCCGAGCCGGGTGACCACGAAGGAGCAGGTCGGCCCCCTGCGACAACGTGAGGAGCTCCTGGCTCATCGATGGAGAACAAAGCGGCTGCATCTCCAGTCTATAATATTGCGAGAAGATCGGTGGTAGGCTCTTCCGATCCTGTGAATACAGGCTACCGGACTGGGTGAGCAAGGATTCTTTCATGTTGGCCACCGTTTGCGCTGCTAAACTCCCTGGATATCGCTGTGTCAACCGAAGAGCTCGCTTGCGCTCCTCAAAGAGCCCTTCTCCAAACTCCTCAGCCTCCGACTCGCTTGAAGAGCTCGAACTATCGGTGCCCTCGCTGGATGAATGCTTCCTCTTCCTGGATCCCTTTGCTCCACAGCGTCTCGCCTTCTTCAACAGCCTACTGCGGGCCTCGGCAATGGGGTCCAGGCAAGTCCCTTCATACAATTATGCTGACAGCGACTTCTGCCCTCGCTCAAGCACTGCATTGCCTTCCTCCTCCTTGGCTTCTCGCTTCCGAGATCGTTCCTTCTTTTCCTTGTGCTTCTTTTTCTTCTTCTTGTCCTTGGCCTTCTCTTCACCTGCCTCACTGGGAGAACCTTTCTCCCCTGCAACTTTCTCACGCCTCTCCTCATGCAGCGCCCTCAATCGCGACAACTCATCATGCTCCTCTGGCTTCAACGGCTTCTCCTCCAGCAATGTATGCCATGGCAACTTGTCGTCTCCAACAATCCAATAGCCCGATGCATGAAGGATGTCTTCACCCGTTGGTTGCCACGAGCAATCGCTCTGGCAGATGTGGAGCTGCATAGTACGCTTGGCCGGATCTCCAAACATGTCCAAGAGTCCTTCCGTTTGCGTGCCTGACACACGAAACTCCAGGAAGTCCTCATCCTGTCCCAGGCCAACGATTCGCCCTGCGACCTTCACATGCCCCTCATAGTACCTGGCGTCTCCTAGCTCGATCAGGCCCAGGCACCGGAGCTGTGCTGCAGCCAACTCCCGCAAGTAGTGGAACTCACTCACGGGCAGGTCGTCGGTCTTCGCGGCAGGTTTTCTTCGGATGGCAGGAGATCTGATCGCCGGCCTGGCTCTCACCTTCGGCGCCATTGTCGATCGTGGAGTTCCTGCTTGGCACGGCGAGTTATTCCTTTATTTTTTCCCACGTACCACCTTGGGTGGTTGGACCAGGGTATTGCTCCGACCCACCCCCTCTGCTGGACCGGTGGTGGCAATGGCGGCGGTGCTGGAGGAGGGGGTGGTCCCGGTGGTGTGTGGGGACTTCTGGGCCGAGGAGGGGTTGCCGGTCTGGTCTTCCTCTCCTTCTTTTTGTTCTCCCTCACTCTTGAACCGGACACTGATGAAGAGCGGCTCGAAGTCCTTTCCTCCTCCGACGCCTCTCTTTTTCTCCCTCCCGGCTTCTTCTTCGCCTTCTTGACCTTTTCCTTCCTGAGCGGCTGGGAGTCCTGCTGCCTGACTCCCTTCTCTTAGCCTTCTTTGCCGCTTCCTTGTTCTCCGGGTCGGCTGCACTGGCTTCTCCTGTCCGCTCAGCTGGTTGCTTGCTAGATGGAGCTGGCTTGACCTTTGGGGCCAGGTTCACCGCTTGGGGATCACTGTGCACGGCCTCCTCCTGCTCTCTCTTGCTGGGTCTTGGTGCTCTTGTCTGGGAGTTCTCAACCAGTGCAACACTCCCGTGGGTTGGCCCTGGTACTGGAACTGGTGGTGCCTTGGGCGGAGGTAGCACCCTGCTGGACACTGATGGGCGGCTGGCTGAGGAACGGGCAGGCTCTGGTGCTGGATCTGGGGCTGACTGGGCTGTCTTTGAAGCGGATGCGGGGCTGGCTTGATGGTCTGAGTCTTTCCTTTTCTTTGGGCTATCGGTGGGCTGTCTCTTCAGGGGCTTGTCCTCACTTCGTCTCCTCTTTTTCTCTTTGGATCTTCCTCGGGGTTTCTTGTCTTCTTTCTTCTCGGGGTTCTTGACTTCCCCGATCCAATCCTCCAGAAGGCCGAAGCAGCCTTCCAGGTACACAACCGCTGCCTCGTCGTTCTCCGGGCTAACGACCGACCTCAAGGACACGAGCAGCTGGTACCCTTTCCTGCAAGGACCGCAGGTCGAAAGGCCGGGTTCACGAACCACGAAGTGGCGACAGCGGTCGCAGACTGGGAGGGGGGCGTCCCCCCCTCCCATCCAAATTCCCTTCTTAAGCCCCAATGCTACGGAGAAAAACGTGACCCGCTCTGTGATTAATCATGGGGACAAGAGATCATGGACTTCATTAGTCATTGTCTTACAATAATACAGTGCCTGCTTCATGTCCTACTCTAGAAATAGATGAACCCAAATGAATCACTCTAGCCCTGGGTATGTATTCGCTTTTAGAGCCAGTAGTTGCCGACCAACTAGGTGGGGCTCCAACTAGTGCAGCTCCATCATCCAAGGAGCTCCATCTTCGAGAACTCCATTGGCTCTTCGGGTAGATCCCACACTGGCTTGTAGGCACTCTTCTGGAGCGGACCCGCCAGTTCCACGGAGGGAACCTGAGACTTGGCAAATAGCAAATCCTGAATGATGGATTGATCATGTTATTGTTCGTGCATCAACGGTCATGATTCATGATCGTAAACTCCATGCAGTTGCATATTTTTAGGGAGTTGTGGGATACACCGCACCACCAAGGACCCATCATGGTCATCCAAACCGGACAAGGCCTTGCCTTGAAAACAGCAAAATGCAGGGGGCACATTCGTTTGTGCCACTTTGTACGTCCGAAGGAGTTTCGGCGGTTTCGGTGGCGTCAATGTTCAAGTTGGCACCCTCAACTTCCCTCCAAAAGCATTCTGTATACAGGTATAATTAGAATTTCATGTGTGTGCATGTTTGCACGTCTTCAACATCTTTCCACGAATTTGATGAGTGAGGAAGCTGAGCTCGAAATGAATTAGGGAAAACCCATGCCAGCCTCGCACTGGTCCCTCTTCGGCGGCTTTCGGCCACCCAAACCGCGCGGCCCAGCGACCGTGTCGCTGGACACCTGCGGCTCGGATCGGATTCCTGGGCGGAACGGATGGAAACGACCCAGAGAGGCGAAAGCAACGAACACGGGTGCCGGTACTAGAGAGCGGCCTCCGACCTAATAGCGATGGCACCAGTATAGTCCTTCTACATCCATCAATCCATCAATCTCAGATCTTCTAAGCTAACCTGAGGACGCAGGATCCGAAGATCAGCATCCCAGGCACTCCGTAGGGGCGTCGCCATGTCCGCTTGCAAGACCTTTAAGTGGCGCTTCGTCTTCCTTAGAGCCCAGAAACACCGGTCGGACCTGGGGCAACATGATATTGGGATGGATATGATGGGATTGTGAAAAGGTGTGAAGAAACATGGATATTGGATAGGTCAAAAAAAAATGTTTCCAAGTTGGTGTACATGCTGATGCCTGCTGTCTCCAACTACCTCCTCAAAAAGTAGTTGGCCATCCGAATCCCAAGCATCACCATGCTGGGTTCCCGGAGGCAAGTGGATTCCCACGGTCCTAAGCCTCAAGTAATCCAAAGCTTCTTGAAGGTAGAGGTCAAATGCAGGTGCTGAACGGTGTGGTCCTCAGCCATGCAGCCGGCAAAGAAAGCTGGGATTCTGGTACTCATCCACACAGGCGCAAGAAACACATCTTCATCCCACCTCATTAATTGGACATTAAACAAGTGTTCGCCGAGTCTGATCAATCGACTCAAAACAAGCAACCAAATTCTCACTGGCTGCGATTCTCCAGAAATTGCACGACCCGAGTTCCTTCAACGGAAAAAGAACTGTGCGGAACCCGTCAAAAGGGCCATGCCCACCATGAAACATGATAAAACATAGATTCCTAGGATCTTTGGTAGGCAAAACTCCTCTGTAATGCGAGCACATCACCAGCGAGCAACCAGCTTGTGGAGTCAAATTCTGAAAGGTGGTGTGTAGTGGTACAGTATCACGTGACACCTGCCAAAGAAATAAGCACAACTTGTATTTTGACCCAAACATATACATATATATATACATTCAAAACAAGGCCCGTTTGAAAGGCCCCTCAAAATACAGCTGCTGTGCCCTATGCGAGGTCCAGGTGGGCTGCTGCTCATCAACTGAATCATGGTAATAGTCTCAAAACACAATTTATAGAAAGAATCCACAGTGAACCCCACCAGCATGTTCCAAAAAAGAGATTAGCTCCAGCTAGGAAGACCCAAAGACCAGCTTGGAAGACTCAAACCCATTGACTTTGTAGCTTTGCTCTAAAGGAGAACCTGTGGGTTCCCAGATTACCCGAGGTCGAGTCGCCCGAGGTCACACGAGGTGGATGAACGTTTGACGAACACAAAAGTAGAGGTCATTGGCGGTCATTGGTCTTGGATATTCCCCATCGCTAAACAAAGCTGTTTGCTTTCTGAACCCGCAGTGCCGCAAACCCACACGAGCAACACCACATTGTGTCCCAAAAGATGGACCCCAAAACACTTCCGGGTTCCTCACCCTTCCATTCCTCCCCTCTCCAAGCTCCCCTCGACGGCCACGGCGCGTGGAAGGAGGTGGCCAGAATCTGGCGTGGTCGAATGTCCATGCCACGATACTCACGCTTCGCATGCCTGGCGCGACCCGCGGGGCGAGGTCCCGGCGTTCCTCCTTTCACGGGGTGACCAGCGTGAGCGTGGGGTACGCAGTTGCTTCAAGCAAGAAGAAACAACTTGAACAGGCAACTAACTCGCATGGTTCCAAGTTCCAAGACTGCAAACATCTGCTAACTAATATAAACAATAACTGCGTTCAATTCCTGATATCCGCAGGGCCAGGGCCAGAAAGGGGAAAAGGCTTCTGTGTACAAGTACCTGGATGAAGGGTCTTTGATAGAATGACTAAGAGTAGTTTCTTGATTAAACCCTTCACCAATGGATTTAGTCCAGGGTCCCTTGTCCACCATCGATTTGGAGCTGAGGTACCTGAGTAACCCATCACTGTAACTCCAGCTGGATCTTTCGATACCTGGAATGTGAAAATTCCTAGCAAATCCTGGCAGATTCCCTTGATACACAGGTAACATTTTTTGAGACAGCCCACCCCATGGGCGCTGTGAACATCATGGGCATCATGGGCCCCCAACAAAAAAACTCGGCACCATGGGCGCTCACTAGCTCTGTTTCAGAAAGCTCTCTGGGTTTCTCGGCTTCTCATGCTTCTCCTTCTTGGCCGCCGCACGCACCGCATGGAACGCTGTTGGCCGTGAGAAGCAGCCCCACTGACATGGCTGCTTAGGCGCAAAGGCGAAAGCGCACAGCTCGCGCAGAGCTTCGCACAAGCTCGCTGGGCGGTCTGTGAAACAAAAGAAGATCCTCACCAGCTCTGAAAGAGAACCCAGAGGGTTCGGGTTCTGATAAGCTTCCAAAATCTGTTCTGATAAGCTACTGTAGCATTATTACCTGTAGACAGTAGCCTAGGGGCAATCACTACAGCTAAAAAAATAGCAAGCAGTCCCAAGCGTCCATTTCTCCGGCTCGTGGGCACGCCATAGATAGATGAAAACCATGGTTTTATCATTCCTTCCAAGCTATTCCAAGGCATGGAAGATCACCAAGTGAAGTGCTGCAAATCTTTGCAGTGCTTGACGATGCACAGCTGCAAAGTGCATAGAGGGCCCCTTGTCTCTCATACATGTCTTATTCCACACTGATGCATGATACATTCATGTCTTATTCCAAAACACCATCGAATAAGGATGTTTGCGGAAACAGCTTACTTTCATGAGCGGCGCGTTGTGTGCAACCCCATCTTAAATTGGTGTGCCATCCATCTCTCAGCTCGTCATAGACTCATAGACTCATAGACCACATGTTCATGTTGTACTGGTATGGACTTGATTCTTGATGGTGATGTAATCCACACACCAAGGGCCATCATGAGAAGCCACAATGAGCAACCAAACACAACACAACCCTCCACACTCAAACTGAAACACCTACACAAACACAAAGATGCACGTGCACACACTGCACACACCCACACATTCTATGAAGATCCAAACGGGGCACAGTTTTCAGAAAGTAGTGGAACACTCAGTCGTCCTCTACTCGAGTCCCACATCGTTCGCACTCTGCTGGATTCCTGGGCTCCCTTTTCACCGACTGCCTTCTGAGTGCCTCCCACATCCTCCCACGAATCTCCCTGAGGGTCCCTGAGGTTCTGAGAGTCTGACGACGGGCACGGGAGAGTCCTTGTGCAACGATGGTGAGGCACCAATTACACAAGAGTAATACAGTATACAGTACCGATGTATACGGTACATACCTCACCTTCTTACCGAATCACCAAGTAGGACGTGGCAATCCACTGAGAGGTTTGCAACATGAGCACTTCCTCTACGTCACACGTGTTGCCCCAAATTGTAGGGAAACTGCCAACAAAAACTACAGGGTGCAACGCAATGGTTATGATACAACTACCCGAGAAAAACAAAGTTCCAGAAAGTTTCGGTCCCAAATCAACATGAGAGCATCAATAGATCCTCCGAAACCACCTTCAACCTTCACAGGAACGAACAGGAACCCTCTTGGAGGCTCGTGGCCATGAAACGCCGCGGTCCTCCGTCTTGGCCACCTGCCACCTGCGGCCAAAGGAACCAGCTGGGGAAGGATTTTACACGGGGCTCAGGGCTTTCCCAAGAAAGATGGTTTGGCCTGCCCGAACACACATTTGCCTTTGTTCCTGCGATGCGATTATAAGGTCTATCGTGTCTGGAAATCTGCCAGGGTCCAGGAATCGCAAGGGTGCGGGAACTGCATTCCACAGGTCAATGGTTCGACGGTCCAAAACTGCAGGTAAACCGAACCATGGGGCTGGACCCAAATGTGCCATAATTCAGGGCACAATCTGGCAACTGCATGTAACTGCAGGAATCGTACTGATCTGACTGATCTGTACCTGAATTGGCAAAGTTTAGAATTGTTGATTTGCTGCCTGTCAATCTTCAGGCATGGGTTTCTCCAGTAAGAACCTTGCGCTCATTTTGCGTTGGTCCAATGATGGTGACCAGGATTGACCAGGTCTCACTGCTTAACTTCCTGTGTCGAATCATCTCAAGCACTCCAGAGCCGGTCGACAAGTCAGTCGAATCATTTGGAATTCGCCCGGTACCCTATATAATTCAAACAATATTGGTTCTGCTTGAGTTCCCATAGCATCCTGTCAACACTCGACAGCACCAACAAGCCTTCAAAACATATTCAAAGGACCTGCCTTACTGATATGGAAGAGTTTTGGCGATGCTTGGGGCGAAAAAAGGATGCAAAACGGTCCAAGAAAAATCAAATGAATCTGTTGGTCAGGCATGGTCCAGTGCCCAGGGTTACCCAAACACTTCTTTCCAAACCCTTCAAAAACAGCTGGCTCTTTTTTCAGCTTCTCTTGACCCGGTGTCACGGGTTTGATGGAGTGCGTCAACTCCATGAGAAAAGGGCTGCAGCGAACCCTTCAAGTTCAAAAGCAAACATGCTAGGAGGTTCTCACATCAGCACTCCCCCTAGCTTTGCAAAAAGCTATCAGCCAGCATCCAACACTCGGGTACTCCTGACATTTTTTGTCATTCTTCCCGCGCGAGTGAGGAGCCGCTGAATCTTCTTCAGCTCAAGCCCTTTCTTGTTGGCAGGTGTTCGATGCCAAAACTTCTTGTTTTCAACCCGTCCAGCACAGCCAGCTATGGCCCTTGATGGCCTTTCAACAATGCACCCAACCATTGTAAATGGGCCAACATGGCCTTCCAGCAATGTTGAACATCAAAACTTGGTGCGGCCAAAACATGCAAATGCAAAAAGGCTCTTCCCCTTCTCACAAACCAGTCATCAGCCGTTCCGGTTATCATCCGTAGTGGGCCAACCAGGCCCTGTGGAAAAAGCTCAACATGCAATGCCCATCATTCCATGTCAGCCGGCCAAAATGGCCTTCCTTTTCTTTTCTTTCACCCTTCTTCATAGGCCTAAGCCTCTGTCCCTCATCGCCTGTAGGCATAGGACACAGATGCTGTATTTCTTGTCCTGGATGGATGCACATCCAGGAAGTTGGTTGTCACCACGGTGATAGATCTCACCCCAACCTCGGCACCAGATCGGCTGTCCGCGGCGAATGCGGTTCATGTCGACCGCGACACCGCATTGGTGACACGGCGGTGAGGCTCTCAAAACCGAGGATGTCAAGGTCTGGCAGTCCATGAACACATGGTACTTCTGGCCATACTTTGTGATGTAGACCCCCAAACCATGCAGATCTTGGCCTTCGTTTCCAGCTGGATCGCCTGCCGCTTGAAACGGCCTTGGAAAAGCCTTTGGTGCAGCTGTCGAAGGTCGATCCGTGCTTGCCGACCCCGTTGGCTCCCAAGCTTCATCGGCCTGGATGTCTCTGTAATCCCGTTCGGTGGGATAGTGAAGAGTTTCCTCTTCTGTTGGCTCGACCGGCGGGACTTCATGCTCCGCAGGTACTTCTTGTTCGGGTTCTTCTTGAATCCCAGTGAGGGTCACTTCCGAGGGTGCCGAAGAGCTCGAGGTGATGAGCGGCTCCTGTAGGTCTGTCAGACCAGCTTGCTGCCGCTCCTCAGCTGTGAGCGAAGATGCCCACCTCATCAGCCATTCCCTGTTGGTGTTGGCCTACTGGATCTGTTGATCCCTTGTCATGGGAGGCGCCGGGCCATATGCATGGTCTTCCGGTGCAGGAGATGATGGAGTCGATGACTTCCCCTTCCCCTTTCCTTGTCCTTTGGTCTTTCCTTTCGACCGGGCGCTATGCCGATTCACTTCACGGCCTTGGTTGTCGACCGTGAGAGAGCTTCCTTGCGACGATGAGTCCGAGCTGTAGAAGCGAGGTGGACTTGGTGCTCGAGGGCAAGGCACAGGCGTTTGAGGACCACCAGCTTGATCACCCCCTGGAATGGCAGGTGCAGTCAGCCAGGCCCACAACCTTCGAAGGATGAGCGTGACGAAGATGACCAACAACGTGTACATGATCATGAAGAACTGAAGTGGGCCGTCATCTCTTTCGCCCTGAGCCTTGGCCTTGGCCAAAATGGCCATGAGAACAGCCAACTGAAGGGTCTTTCCATCAGCGAATTGAACGATCGCCCTTTCTTTTCCATGTTCTTCTTCCTTTTCTTCTTTTGATCTTACCGCCTCTGGGCCATCCTCCTTATTCTTTTCTTCTTCTTCATCCTTCTTTTCCTCCTTTGAGCTTATCGCCCCTGGGCCGTCCTCCTTTTCCTTCTCTTCTTGCAGCAACATCATCATCAATTCTTTAAGTTCTTTTGTTCGTTGGATCGTGAGGGCCTTGGTGCCAAGATCAGTAATCATCACTGCACCCGGCAAATGGCGGACTCGCCAATCCAAATTTGTGATCCTCCAGCGAACATGTTGAGCTCGAAGTCGAAGATGGCGTGTTCGAATCCGGTGGCAGCGAGGTTGTCAACGAAAAGGGTTTTCTTGTAGAGCTCTTCATGCTCGTTGATGAGGCAATCAACAGCATCACCAGTCTGTAGGCCTTCAATGGCCTCCAACAACTCTGACTCCGCCGTGGAGAGCGGGAAAGGCTTGCCTCCCACTTTTCCAAAACATCAAAGCTCCATTCCAAGTGACCATCACGGATCCGTGGGAAGCTTGTGTCTCAGGATTGGCAGCGAAGCTGGAATCTGTGAAGACTTCAAGTGCTCTTGGTCCTCCATCCCAACCTTCTCCCTTCTCTTTTGCGAACTTCAATCCTTCATTTGGGGTATTCTTCAAGTACCTCCAAACTTGTGTAGCTTGTTCCACCACCCACATAGGATGTGATAGGATTTCTTGAGCACAGCGACTTGTGGCGAAGGCGATATCCGGCCTCGTTCTCGTTGATAGCCACATCAATTCTCCCACAAGCTTTTGCGCCTGGGTGACGAGGTCAGGCGTGGGTTCTTCTGGCAAGGGACATAGATCTTTCCCCATTGGAACCTTCACTCCTTTCTTCTCCTCAATTCCTTCTTTGTCCTTTATGTAGTCTTCTTGGGAGGCGACGAACTCGCCCCATGGACCTTTCTTCAGCTCCATGCCCAAGAACTTCACCTTGTCTTTCGTGTTGACTTCTTCAGGAGGGGATGTCTCCCATTCCGCCTGAAGCATTTTGGTGATCATTTCAATGGTGCCGCCGTCTCCAACCACCATCAGGTCATCGACGTACACCAGAAGAAAGCCTTTCAGTTCGCCTCCTTCCACATCTTCATCCTTGGCTTCACCCTTCAAAATCGCCCAAAGATTTGGTTCTGCAGCCGATTGGACGAGGTGATGCCCTTCATCAGAGTTCATGCTTCGAAGCACACCATCGCGGCGCAGACCCCAACATCGTGGTGATTGT